AGTACAAAAAAACAGCCAGTAGTCATTGGATATTGTAGATCATTCCGGTAGTCTTGACCTATTTATTTATACAAAAAAACAGCCAGTAGTAATTGGATACTGTAGATCATTCAGTTAGTCTTGACCTATTCATTTGTACTGAAAAAACAGACACATATACGAATATCAATTATATGCTTACTAGACATGTTGCAATGTTAAACTTATTACGGTATGTGAAAATCAAGACTTGCATAAAAAATATCACAATATTAGGGACAGTGGCGTCATTTTTCCTCAGAGCTTTCAGCTCTTTGATTTTGGTTTAGTATGGAATTCCATCAAGTTCCATCAACTTTCCATCAATTGTCCATCAAGTGTTGATGGAAAATGAAGAAATTGATGGAAGATCTAGGGAAGGGCTGTTTAAGCTTGTTTTTGAGATTTTTTTTTTTTTGGAGGAAAAGGAATTTCCTTAGAACTGAAATATATGAGAAGAAATGATTGTTTAACTGTTTGAAAAATGTAGAAGACTATAACAAGAATTTGAAAATGTTTTTTTGGAATTGAGATGTACATGTAATATGAGGATCTAGATGGAGGTCTTCATTTTTGGAACTGAGATGTACATGTAATATGAGGATCTAGATGGGGGTCTTCATTTTTGGAACTGAGATGTATATGTAATATGAGGATCTAGATGGGGGTCTTCATTTTTGTGGTAATTATTCTCTGTCCTTAATTTTTTTCCGTTTTTTTTCTGTATTTTTTTGGGGGGGAGGGGGGCCATTTTTCTTGACTCTTTTTTTTGGACCGATTTTTTTTCTAATCTTGTCCCATTATTCTCTATTCCTCGAGCCCCATCAATGCCCTCATATATTGACAATCATGGGGGTTGTTGGGGATAGATTATTTCAGACTTGCCAATTTTAACGATTTATAGGGGATTTCACCATGATAGGTGTTGATCAGACTCTTGAAAGTCTCTATTATATAAACTTATAAACTGAATACCTAAATACAGACATTCAAAGGGAATATAAATGGTATTACCGGTAAGCACATATTTACTCTTTCAAACCATAGTATATGAGGTAAAAATCACTTTTGACATGTTAAAGAGATGCATAATGTCGTCTTGTGCTTACAATCCCCCATGGAGATATTGAGAAATTGACTGGCATGTTTTAATCCATTGCAAAGGTAAAAACCAGAGAAGCTACTAAATATTATGGAAAAGTTGAAAAATGTAAGCAACAAAATATATACCATAATATCTTTACAGGTTATATCGGTGATTGGCTTCATTGTGCAAGTTTTTATTGCCTAAAATTAATTGTAACCTGAAATATTCTTAACCTAAGAACTTAGGGTTTCATCAGCTCAGTTAAGTCAATACTTAGGTACTGACATGATTTATTACAAACATTTCTTAAATTGTATGTTTATAAATTTATAAATTATTAAGAAACTAAGGTTTCAACCCCCCTCAGACAAAGCTGACCTTAGAACGGATTTGGCTATTACATGTATTAAGTTCTTTTTTTTTTGTCATCAAGCTCTTCAACTGTTTCGGTTCTTATTCATCATTGAATTGTCTTCAAATATTCAGCTTTGAGTGTTCCCAATGAAGGTAAATCCAGGAAAGCGCTTCGGATGCATAGAATTTATAAAGTGTTGTTTTCATTTTTGTCTCGCCTGCATATGTCCATTGTCCTTGACCTCATTTTCATTGCTCAGTGACTGCTTGAAAAAAAAATTAAACATTTTCTTTGATTTTAACATGTTTAAAGAAAATCAGACAACCAGGTCTTTTTTTCTTATCCCTCTTTGTGTGGCCCCAATTTTTCAGATTCAATAGAATTAATTAGTAATAAAGTCAGATTTAAGTAATATCCTTATAACTTTTAATTATTTTTATAGATAGATCCATACTTAATCAGTTATTAATTCATCCGTCATACTTTGACATTTAAAAGCTGACACACTTTTCTTTGACTACAATGACAGTTTTAGCAACCGAAAATAGCAACCATGAAATTGAAATTAAAAAAAGAAATTGACGATATCTCTGATTGTGTTTATTTCCATAAATAGAAAAAAGATGAATGGGAAATAAAAGATTTTTGGGATGTGATATTTGATATATTTGCTAATAAATTAATTTGAGTTTTCAGTGAATTTTGTAATATTGGTATATATATGTGGGCTGCTATTACATTAATTCAGAGGCCACACAAAAAGGTTTTTTGGTTTTCTGTTTTTCTTTTTTTTTTTTTATAAAGATATTGGTACAGGGATATTTTTTTTTATTCTGCTCTTATTTGTTTTATCATGTCAGGTTTTGAAAAAAAATATATTAGTTTTGAATAAAATTGAGAATGGAAATGGGGAATATGTCAAAGAGACAACAACCCGACCAAATAGCAGACAACAGCCGAAGCCACCAATGGGTCTTCAACGCAGCGAGAAAATCCTGCACCTGGAGGTACAGTCCTCAGCTGGCCCCTAAATAAAATTGTGCTTGGCTTTTGAAAAGCGCATATATATGTATAACCTTTTAGATTGTGGCAGCTTTCAAGTCTAAAATATAAAGATTTAGCTGTACGAAAATCAGAATCACATGATTTTATTTTTAGCCATGTAAAATAGATATGAAAAAGTATTGGAAAATAGAAAATAAATTTAAATCTTGTATGAGACTATTGATCATCAGCATACAATTTATTAATGTTCTCTTGAAATAATCTCCTCTTAATAAGAGGAAAGGATATTGGGTGCCAAATTGCCAATGCACAAATGTGACATTTTGCACAAATGAACTATGTGAACTGATAAATGCTCTGTACAGGTCACTTGGTGTACAATTAAACAAGGTGACCTGATAAATGCTCTGTATAGGTCACTTGGTGTACAATTAAACAAGGTGACCTGATAAATGCTCTGTATAGGTCACTTGGTGTACAGTTTAACAAGTTGACATGACAGATGTCTTCTAATTGTTAAGTGAACTATATGAATTGACAGATTTTCCTTTAATCCTCATGGATCTTTTCTTTTCGAATTCACACAGACAAAAAACATCACTTTTTAAGTCCAGGTGATTGTTGACTGCCAGTTGATTCATTATTTACTGTGGATTCGTTATTATTCCCCTACCGACAAAGTCGAAGGCGACTTTATGTTTGCACTCCGTCCGTCTGTCTGTTCATCCGTCAGTCCGGCAAATCAGTTTTACACACTTTTTTTCTTCATGCTTGAAGATATTGATTTGATATTTGGTATATAGTTTGATCATGAAAAGTTACAGATCAAGTTAAAATTTTGTTCCTGTCTGATGATTTTGTGCAGAGTTATGGTCCTTGGACTTAGAAAATTCACTTAGATAATCAATTTTCCACATTTTTTTTCGTCATGCTTGAAGATATTGACTTGATATTTGTTATATAGTTTACACCATGACAAGTTATTGATAAAGTTAGCATTTTATTCCAGTACAATGAATTTTTAACCAGTAGGGGACTATGTATTGCCATGCAATACTCACAGAATGCTTGTTATTCATGGAACACCAATTTTTGTTGTTTTGTAGGTAAAGGCCGCGCGGTGAACCATGAACTTGACAGTTCAACAAAGTTCAAATTTTCTATATATATAGACTTGACCTAAGTGGCGCTAACTTCTCAATACATTGTACTGTAAAGAAGGAATTTTTTCACTAATATGAAAATAAGAAGATGTGGTATGATTGCCAATGAGACAACTCTCCACAAGAGACCAAATAACAACTATAAGTCACCATACGGCCTTCAACAATGAGCAAAGCCCATACCACATAGTCAGCTATAAAAGGCCTCAAAATGACAAATGTAAGACAATTCACACGAGAAAATTAATGGCCTACTTTATGTACAAAAAAATGAACGAAAAACAGATATGTTACACAACAACAAACAACAACCACTGAATTACAGGCTCCTGATTTGGGACAGGCACATACAGAATGTGGCGGGGTTAAACTCGTTTGAAGGCGCAAACCCTCCCCCTAACCTGGGACAGTGGTGTAACAGTACAATTTAAGACCTAACTATAAAAATCAGTCGAAAAAGGCTTAACTCAACAGATGGATACAAATAGGAATACATCTATAAAAAAAACACAGAGTGGACGTGGCAGGGTACTTATACATCCCCACAACAAAAAGACACTACTATAGTACAGATCTAAGAGTACTCACAGTTACCGACAGCTAGATCAAAGCCAATAACAACTTATAAAATAAATCATGCATCTAAGACTAAAATATCAATAGGTACACATCGAACATCCAATGGATTTCGTGTATAAAGACGTCATAAACAGAAAAACATGACCTTCAATGTTCGCTAAGTTTTCTCTTCTTGCATGGTTACTTCACGATTTACAATTATATCCCAATAGTAAAGGAACGACCATTTAACTTCAAAGGGGGGGTTATGTTTTTTTTCTAAAAAAGTATTCTGATCCCCAATGTGATTAAAAAAAATATTGTGGTTGTCTGACGTACCAAGCAGATGACAAAAAAAAATATTCTGAATCCAGATTTTCCCCATACCTTATAGTGTTAAAGTTTGAAAAAAGTAACTTGATTGATAGCGTTGAAAAACAAAAAAAAAATGTTTTGACTCAGACAAAAAACGATAACCTTCCCTTGAAGTTAAATGGTTGCTGCCTAAACGTGATCTTTATGCAAGGTTGGAATCAGTGCAAAAATAATACTTTACAAACAGGTTCAGTCTTTGAAATAATTTTTTCAACCCCACATGATAAACATAAGTTTACAATAGGAATAAAGGAGTGTCTTGATGCAGGGTAATTTTTTCTTATTTCATAGCTTATTTTCTATGTTTATTTTTTTTGGCCCTTTATTCTGTATTTTTTGTTCATTTTCTGTAAACTTCAACCCAACCCTAATACATCATCACTACAGGGTTTATATTGTAACAAATAAAAAAATACAACTTTATATTTGTATCTTTCAGAGACCAATGAGCCAGCAACAACAGAGAGCAATGTAAAAGAAGCAGAGGAAAAGGCACACATAAAACGTGGGAAAAAATCACCTGGAACACGACAAACTAAACTCCCACAATGCAGTTTACCATCCAATATGCAGCCGACTTTTTACATCGGTGGGGGAAATGGAGTATCTTTGTAAGTAAAACATATATAATATTAACAAAAATATCTTTACTTTTGATTGTTGATAGTTAGCTAATGAGATAATACAGTTATCCTCCTTAAAAGTTAAGAACGATAGGTCACTGTACGGCCTTCAACAATGAACAAAACCCATACTGTATAGTCAGCTTTAAAAGGTCCCGAAATGACAAATGTGAATCAGTTCAAACCAGAAATTAGCTGTTTGATTTATGACAAAACAATAAATGAAAAACAAATATGACAGACAGCAACCAACTAAAACCACTGAATTTCTGTAGGCTCCAGAGTTCAAGGACAGACACATAAAGAATGTTGTGGATTTAATATAAATAAGAAGATGTGGTATGAGTGCTAATGAGACAACTATCCATCCAAGTCACAATGTGTAAAAAGTGAACAATTATAGGTCAAAGCACGGCCTTCAACACGGAGCCTTGGCTCACATGGAACATTAAGCCATTAAGGGCACCAAAAAGCAATTCAAACAGGAAAACCAAAGGTCTAATCTATATAAAAAACGAGAAACACTTATGAACCACACCAACAAACGACAACCACTACAGGTTCTCGAATTAGGACAGGTGCATAAAAATGCAGCGGGTTTAAATGTTTTAACAGGTGCCAACCTTCACCCTAACCTGAAACAGTGGTATAACATTACAACATAAAAATACACACAATAAAATACCAATTAAACATGTTTGTGAGCACTGAACTGTGGGACAGTGGTGTCACATAAAAACAAATTGTAAACATCAGGTTGAAATGGCTTGACTTTTTAGATATAAAGTAGAAAAAAAAAAACCAATTTACAAAAACTCAAAAGACACAAATTACTTACCGTAGTTACTTAAAAAATAAAGTCATTTAAAATTTTGTACGCCAGACAAAAAATATGTTCAAAACTAATTAGAACTAAGCAGATTTAGTGTAAAGATGTACCGGGTACACACAGTGTCCAAACAACAACAAGTAAGCGAATGTGGATATTTAATTTTATTTAAGGAATGACTAATATTTTTCTGTCTATTTGAAATAACATAAAAAATGTGGTGCACACTGGCGCAGATTATTTAAAAGTCTTCACCACATTCTTGAGGTTATTTTGAATAAACAGAAAAAATATTAGTTATTCCTTATAATATTATTCTAAATTCCATTTTTAAGGGGTATATTATGAAAAAACATTGATGACGTCACAGTCACATGACAAAATTATGTCTATTAGCTGATAGACAAAAAACTTTCAGCCAATCAGAAGACGTGTTACATCCAAAAATTTAATTATTTAGAATTATATTGCATATTCCTGAGTAATTTATATCTTAATCCAAGTCCAACATACACTTCTTCATGTTGCACATAATTTTACACCCTTTAACTATCCAGGTTAACCCTTTTTTTGAAAGCTGAAAAAATAGATGTTTTCTAGTTTAATTGGTTGGCGTCCACAATATGCATGAAATATTTGCAACTAGACATTAAACCAAACAGTAATCAATGAATGCATTTAAATCAGGACTCTCAGTCATAAGACTTTACTCAATACTTGAAGTACAAAATTTGTGCCGAATTACTAAATTCTGTATTTTGATTGGTTGAGTCTGAGAACAAAGATGGTACCTGAGAATTTTATTACTGTAAGACCTGGTCTGGAAGAGGTTTGGTTTGTACAGGTTCAATGTTTTGTCAAGGACAATAGAAAATTGAAACCGGAATGAAAGGTCAAATTTTCTTATGCGATTTGAACAAAACAACGGATAATAGTATATCTTAACTTTGCTTACAGGGTAGAAGGACCTCTGTTGGCTTTAGGCTGGAAACGGACCACAGATAAATATGACGAGAAATACCGTCTAAAATGGGTAGAATGTAAAACCCGCATAAATTATGGTGGGTTCAAAGAAGGTAAATGAAGCTCTTTCCTTGCGGCAGTCGGTGTGTGAAAATGACTCTCACTAGCTTAGAAATTTTACCCTGCATCAATGTTTAATCCCTCTCGCTAGCCCTCACTAGCCTAGTTTACATGAGCACTTTCCCTGTGGCATTCATTTTTTTACTTAACTTTCACCTGTCTTGTTTGCTTGGCACCTTTGTTGGTATTTTGTTTGTAGTGATAGTGTAGTCTAGAAGTTTGTATGTAATGTTTGTTATAGGTACCTGTATGTGTGGGTTTTTTTTATCAACTTGCTCTATATCCATGAGCATGTATAGTAAATACACACAGTTTAAAAATGCCATTGAAAGTTCAATATCCAATCAATATAAAAGCAGAATTTCTTGAATTTTTTTGGATTTCCTCCATGAAAGAAAAACGTGCAAAGATCTTTAAATATACAAATTAAAAAAAAAAAAATATAAACACGTACATACTGGCTAAAGACAAAAGAAATTAAATTAAAAAAACTTATGAAGTATATAATATAGGTGTTTTTCCTCATCTTTTGCTTAAAATTCACAGTTAAGATTTTGAAAAATTGGCAGCTATGAATAAGATTGCTTTCTTGGTGTATTGCACAAGTTTCTATTGTTTGATTAGTAATTTCCACCTATCAACCTCAATAATATTGCATAGACACTTGCCTGTCTTTTATTGAGGACCATGTGTTGCTCTCTAAATGTCTTTGCTTTGACCTTGACATTCACCCCAAATTTCCTTTTACTAATATGAAGTATTACATATGATAGATCCTTGCCCATTCTAATCAATTTGCAGAAATGTAACTTATTCACTCAATGACCCTAATTTTGTTTATAAATTTTCAATGGTATTTTAAAACTTGGTATATATATATATATAGATATATACATAAGTAGACATAGTGTTAATTTAGATAAATAGAATTATGTATGAATATAGTGTAGAAGTTTCATACTGAAATTTGGAACCAATCTTGAATTTGAATTATACAGAAAAGATAGATTAAGGGGGATTAAGTAGTGTTGAATTATTTTAATCTTATAATCTATATATGGATTAATAGAAAGGGATGAAAAATGTCTGGATTAGGACATTGTAATGTTTCATTTAAGAGGTTTAGCGTGTTAACACACATCATGGTACATAGAAGAATCAGTTTTAAGGAGTGTAAAGTCTTGTGAACATGGGTCATTATCCTTTTTTTGTTTGTTCATTATACAACTATGTTATTCCAAACATTTGGTATACATTATTATTTGTTGGGTATTAAATGTTTAGGTTTCTTGGGTACTAAGAATTCAAGAGTTCAACAAAATTAAAATTTTCATGTCTTACATGACAGTTAAACATTGAAACATGTTAAATAAATGGAGAATGTGTCTATAGGACACATATGATGCCCCCCGCTTGCATATAACGTTATAAAGAGGCATAACTCTAGAACGGTAAAAGTGACGCCACCCAAATTTGAAGTTGATCTGTATTTTGTGGTAATACACATTGTGTATAAGTTTCGTAATATTTGGTTGAGGCAAACTAAAGGTAGAGAATGGAAACGAAAAATTCAGCAATTATTCCATATTTAAAGGGGCATAACCCCAGATAAGTAGAACTGATGCCACCAAATTCTGAACTTGATCTGTGTTTTGTGGTAATACACATTGTGTAGAAGTTTCATAACATTTGGTTGAGGCAAACTAAAGTTAGAGAATGGTAACGGTGGGGGCATACAAAATCTTGTTAAATCATTTCTAGACTATCTTGCTAGCTTGCATATAATGTTATAAAGAGGCATAACTCTAGAACGGTAAAAGTGACGCCACTCAAGTTTGAAGTTGATTTGTGTTTTGTGGTAATACACATTGTGTATAAGTTTCGTAACATTTGGTTGAGGCAAACTAAAGGTAGAGAATGGAAACGAAAAATTCAGCAATTAATCCATATTTAAAGGGGCATAAACCCAGAACAGTAGAAGTGATGCCACCAAATTCTGAACTTGATCTGAGTTTTGTGGTAATACACATTGTGTATAAGTTTCATAACATTTGGTTGAGGCAAACTAAAGTTAGAGAATGGTAACGGCGGGTGCATACAAAATCTTGTTAAATCATTTCTAGACTATTACTAGACTGTTGTTCAGTGGTTGTTTGTTGATGTGGTTCATAAGTATTTCTCATTTTTCATATGGATTAGACCGTTGGTTTTCCTGTTTGAATTGTTTTACACTAGTCATTTTGGGGCCCTTTATATCTTGCTGTTCGGTGTGAACCAAGGCTCTGTGTTGAAGGCCGTACTTTAACCTATAATTGAAAGTAAATTAAAATTGTTTGTATATCAACTCTGTGTTATTATTGTCTCAGCTAAAAATGTTATAAATAGAATGTACAAACACATGTCTGTCCCATAGTTCTTCCGGTAGCTCATCTAAACATATGGTTTCATCACTGCTGCTTGTTGTCAGGTCTATGTAGTCTTCCTGAGTAAGGTCCATGACATAACCGTAATCGTTTGTTATGTATTGCGGAGTGTTATTTAAAGAAGAGTCGGAATCCGACAGGTACAGGTCTTGTTCCAAATCACTTGTTGAGGGTTTTTTCGGTTTTGAGGTGGATGATTGGTGATACTCATACGGTGATTTAGCTGGTATTGTCCTGAATGTAGGTGTTTTCCCGTTCCATTCTTTTTTCTGTACGGCTTCAAATGGTGGTCTCCATTTTTCTATTGCTTTGGCCATTTCACGAGGATTTTGTTGGAAGCTATTATAATCTTCTCTGGCTTTATCTGGGTGTTTTGATTTAAGGTGTGTTACGGCATTTGATTTTCTAGTGAAGGTTGCAACACAATGTTTGCATTCAAACATTGTTGCGACTGGTTCGTGGCGTTCCTTATGGTGTCTTCGTAAAGTAGAAATACTGCAGAAAGTTTTCGGGCATTTTTTGCAATTAAATCGTCTTGTGAAAGTTCCTGTAGTTTCTTTTCTTTTGGTAATCTTCGTATTAGCCATATCGTCTGTTAAGGCCCCAGGGTTCGGTGCTTCCAAATTTATGTATAAGAGCTTCTTCCGTTCTTAGTCTGACGTTTATGTTTTGTTCTGTGGTTGTTATGCCTGTTATGGTGACGTCGTGTTTATTGTGACCATTTGAGGTGAAGTGTTTCGAGACTGGTTTTGTATTATTCTCAGTGTTGATGTCCTGTAGATGTCCCCTGAATCTTTCTTTTAGGCTATTTCCCGTTTGACCAATGTATTGTTTTTTGCATTGTTTGCATTCTATTAAATACACCACACTTTCTGTGTTGCATGTAATTTCGTGTTTAATATCTATTTGGTAACTGTTTACGGTACTTTTTGCACTTTCTGCGGTTTTCATTAATCTACAGAGATAGCAATTCTTTCCGCAAGGGTGGCTACCCTTACGGGTTTGTTTGCGTACAATTTCGGTTTTTACTAGTATTTGTTTGATTGATAAGGCTCGTCTATATGAAACAATGAGTTTTTGTTTCGCGAGGGTTTGAGTTTCAGGAGTTCTTTTGAGGATATCTTTCCTCTGGTTGATGGTTCCGTTAAGATTTTTTATTTTTGGATGGTAGTTGATTACTAATGGAATCATATCTGGCTTCACGGGTTGGTCAGTTTCCTTTGGTTTTAACAAATCATTTCGATTTAACGACTTTGCTTTTGAAATTGCAGAATCGACAACCTGTCGGGGATAACCCCGAGTCAGGAGATGTTCTTTCAGACGGTTTGTGTGAAATTCGAAATCATTGATTTCTGTACAAATTCGTCTTATTCTCAGTGCTTGACTGAATGGAATACTTTCTTTTTGGTGTTTCGGGTGGCATGAGTTGTAATGTAAGAAGAGGTGCGCATCTGTTGGTTTTGTGTATAGAGTTGTGTGGAGTTTTCCTTGGTTATTAACTACCGTTGTATCTAGGAAATCGACCTTTTCTGTACTTATGTGGCTTGTGAATTTTATACTAGGATGGAATTGGTTGAGGGCACTGATGAAGGAATCTAGATCCTTGCGTGTATGTGGCCATATGAAAAATATGTCGTCTATATATCTCCACCATACTAATGGTTTAAGTACTTGTGTTTTTAGGAATTCTCTCTCTAATTTGTCCATAAATATAATGGCGTATTCCGGAGCCATAATTGTTCCCATGCTTGTTCCCATAATTTGCATGTAGTATTTATTGCCGAATTTAAAACAATTTTTGGTTAAGATAAAGTGCATAAATCTAAGAAGTATCCAAGTTGCTGGTGAATTTTCTTGTCTGTTGTTCAGTATTTCTTTTGCTGCAAGTATTCCTTCTCTGTGTGGAATGGTTGTATACAGTGAGCTTACATCTGCCGTTACTAGAAGGCTGTTGGGTGGTATATCGCCTAGCGATTCGATTTTTTGTAGAAAATGTGTGGTATCTTTAATATACGACGGTATATCTTTGATGAAAGGTTTTAGATAATGGTCCACAACTTTTGACATATTTGCAGTAGGAGAGTTTATTTGTGAAATAATTGGTCTACCTGGATTTCCTGTTTTGTGAATTTTTGGGAGAAGGTAAAATAGTGGCGTTCGCCAGTGTTTTTGTAATAAGAATTCGTGTAGAGTTTCGGGTAGTTTGTGTTTTATATCGAGAATGAATTCTTTTATTTCTTTGGCGATTTTGGGGTTGAGATCTTTATTTACTTCCTCGTAAAAAGTAGTGTTAGAAAGTTGACGGTCTGCTTCTCGCATGTAATCTATGGTATCCATAATAACGATTGCTCCTCCTTTGTCTGCTGGTTTAAGTGTAATGGTCTGATCATTTTTTAATTCATTTAAGGCTCTAAATTGATTTCGGTTGAGGTTTTTTCTTATAAATCCTGTTTTCGGAATTTGTGAGATATCATCAGAAGTAAGGTTTAAAAATGTATCCAAATCTTTATTTCTTCCCGCTGGTGGTGTCCATCCTGTAGGTAATTTAAACGGGTTGGGAGTATATGTGC